CACTCCATGTAGCGTGGTGCCCCACCTTGGGTCCCCCCTCTCAACCCAGTCTTCTATCCTCCCCCCTTACCAGACTCAAGTTTCACAACCCTTTGAAGCAACCTTGAATAAAGTCATCACACAGGCAAGAACTCAGTGTTGTACCTTACTTGCAGCTCCCCTGATTTTCTCAGCTGTTCTGTAGGACAAAGTCTTCTCAAGCCATCACCTGAGGCTTTCCCATCTCTCCTAAGAGTGACTCTTGCCCACTCTTATAGCTAGGTCTCTGATGTAACTCACTGCATCTTTTTCAGCTGTGTTCAGACTCTTGCCTCCCATCTCCCCTTGCTCACTGGACTTAAGAAACTGAAAGCACTTGTACTCCCACCCTCCTCCCATCTGGCAGAGCCTCTACTGCTTCCTGAGCTTAATGCACAACACCAATACACCTGGTGTTTGCAAAGGTGGGGAGAGATGGGAGCATCCTTTCTCACTGTCCTCTCTGGCAAGGTCCAACCTGCCAAGACTGTTCGTTAGAAGCCAGTCTTAGAGAAAAGCTGCTCAGAGATTTTTCATACAAATGGGTATTTTTCTTTTAATGAGCAATTGCTCATTTTCATCCACATTGCAGCACTTTGGAAAATATGTCAATCACTTGCTTTTTGAAAGCCAGACTGAACTCTTTTAACATTGTCAAAATGCCTTTGATAAATATAATTCATTCACCTGGAAAGGTGTGGAGCATCCCAGGAAAAGAAGCATTTAAACCAGCCTATCCCTTCCTCTACAGACCTTTCTCTTTACTGTCAAAGGAAATCTCTGTGCTGTGGTGTTTCTTCCCAGTCACACTTGTTTGTTGCACCTGCTGCATTCTCAGACAGGGGCACTGAAACCAAATTTCTTTTTCCTCCTAACATCTGGAAATGTAGTTGGGTTTTTTTGTTTTGATTAAGCATATGACCTCTTAAGGAAATAAGTCACAGCACTGAAAGACCCAAATAATTCATTGAAGCAAAACTTGCCAAACAAGTTAAAGAAGTATGAAAGCTGTTCTAGAGCTGGTATTGGATGCCTTGTAATGATAACAAAGTGTGCAATCAGAACAGACTGCCAGGAAAGAGCAATGCTTACATTGTGCCACTACATGTGTTTGGAATAAAAGTGTGCCACAGTAGAGGGAGGCTTCAATGTAGTTTTTTCTTTTTCTTTTATAACCTGCACTGGGGACAGAAAGCTTAAGCTAGACACAACCTCCACATATGTAGCTATAAAAAAAGTTGTAAGCTAGACCATATAGCTCTCTTTTTGTTAGGGGCAGGCTCTACAAGAGCTCCTGCTTCTGTTTCAGCAGAGATTTAGGGACTGCCTTCAATTTGGTAGGCTCTCTCTACAGTGCCGTCAACTAGTCTGCAGTAGCTATTCCAGCCTGTATGTGTGCCAGGCTAGAAAGAAAATGCACAAAAGAAATGGGACAGATTTTTATCCCTGCAAGCAAAGGAGTGGACATTATGAGATAGTTACTTTAGCTTTGTGCCTGTGGGAAGTGTGCCATCTCAGAGAAGTGTCCAGTGGAAAAAATATGACTGCTTTCTGCTCCACCTGTGCTGCCACGGGGGAATGGGCCAGAGAACCTGGCTTTGGCTTTGCAAGGGCAGAGGAAGATGAGTGGCAGACAGGGAAGAGGCTACTCACGCACATCCACCCCAGGGAGCAGAAGCCATGTACTGACTGTGTTTGCACTCAGTTTGGTGATCTCTGGATATGTCCCCAAGGCACAGGAACTCATGTTAAGAAATGTAAGACAGTTGCTAGTATCACTCATGGCAACATCCAAAAAGTGAAGAGCAGATAAGTATGAGCAACCAACTGCTTCACTCTTCCAAACAGTCCTTCAACATCAACTGAGCCAAGCTGGAGAGGTGGGTGAGTTTGGGAGGAGAGAGATCACTGCTTAAGATGGATGGATGAAGGAGGTATAGCCTGCTGTAGCATAAGCTCAGTGGCAGGGAAGGTCGGATGAATACCAGGAAAACTTTCTAAGCAAAGAAATATATAAGCTTGCAGAGCCATGTCAGTAAAGGGAAGGATATAAAGAATATTTCCATCATTAACCAACATTGGAGCATTTGCATTTGCCCCAGAGAGTTTGCGTGACTCACCTGATTACAGCATCTTACCTAAACTGCTGTATAGTTCTCAGCTTTCTTAGCCAGCATTTCTCCTTTAAGTAGCTGGTATACATAAAGATATAGTCACATCAGATGTGGGGAGACATCTGGATATGACCGAAGCCAAGTGTCAGCCCTATTTATTCCCCATTCCTTCTCTGCTGGATCCAGGAAAAAAATAGGGAAGCCTGTCCACCAGCCTCTGTCTACAGAGCAGGCGCTCAAAGCATCCAAAACCTAGTGGGAGCTCAAGTCTTTCAGAAGGGTGAGTAACCCAATGCATGGAGCAAGCATCTCCCCAGAAGCTTTTCCCTTAGCCTAAGACTTACTAAACATAAGAATTTTGTCTCATTAATTAATAGACTGGTAACTGTCCTTAAAAAAGGAAGAGACACAAAAGCAAGAGACACAAATCACAAGAGGAGCGGCTTCGTGAATGGCCTCACCTCTGCTAGTTCCCGGGCAGACCTCATCTCTCCTCCTTCCTGAGCCCAAGATGATGCAGTTCAGCAGTCCCTGGCTCGGCACAGATGCAGGGGCTTTGCAGAACCCAGCAGCCATTCCTATGCATCAGCCATTTTCTAACAGGTGGCGAGGAATAGGCAGGTGCTGAGTGGTTGTGCTCTAGCTGCTGGGGTATTTTTCACCAGCCCATAAGAAACACGTTCTTAACTGCTCAACTTGCTTATGTCTTTCTGATGTTATATAAGTGGATTTAGAGAAAAAGCACTGCCATGAGCAGGTTTCTAATTAGGAAAAGAAATAAATAGAATTATGGAATTAAGGCAGAACCTCAGCATGAATGACCCAAATCCCTTCCTTGTGCCGCAGTCCACAGCAGGCTATTAGAAAACATTTTTTTAAAAAAATAGTTAATTCATTGCTAAGATGGCACAGCAAAGGCAAATTCCTTTGCAGGCTAGCACCCACTCTCTCAAGCTGCTGATCCCTCTTAATTTGACTCTTTTTGACATTCAGTACTTTAGGAAGCAGGGTGCTCTGCAATTCAAGCAGCACTACCCTCATTCCTACAAACACTGCTGAAATACAAATAGCAATGGGGCATATATTACCATGTCCTAATTCGCACTGACAGCTCTTGGTACAAACATGCAGACTGTCATTACTACTCAGAGTTGCCTACTATGAGTTACCTGCTGTCTCACTGGGTATAGGAGTCTCATTAAGAGTAGTTTTCTTTGTGGAGTTATCAAGCATCTACAGGTCTCCATGACCCAACCTCAAGTGGAGCTAAGAGCACGCAACATCTTCACAGATGAGGCCATATTTATCTAAATACTCAGCTGCAGATTTAAGTGCCTACATTTTAAAACACGGCTAGAGAAACTTGTAATTTATGGTTCTCAAATTAGTAATTTGAAATGTGATGAAGAAATCTCAAGTTTTCTACTCCCAATACTGCCACCTACCACAGAGTGTTTTTGATGACATTTGAATCCCCAAATGCATGGCGATTTCTTTAGATGGTTAAAGAAGAGAAGCAGATACCCTGGGATGTAGTGCTGCTGGTTGGGAAGTGCACGTCCTCAGTAAATCAGCTGATGCATGAACAAGAAGCCAGACTTACTCTTTACATATGAAGGCACTATCTTCCTGAAATTGCTATGTTACATGATACAAAATCTGCATCAGATGGAAAATATGTACTGGTGATTATTGGTTTGATAGGATGCTAGTTTACTTTCTGCACTGGTCCTTTTTCTGATGGGTCAGTCTCCTTGGTGGTGGGGATCTCTAGGGTTTTTTTCCTACTGCAGTGAGACTACGGGGATGAAGTAGGAAAGGGAGACATCAGTTTTCCTGCCTATAAAGAGAGCTTGCCAGCTGTGGCACACAGCTGAATGAACCCAGCTACCATAGGGAAACACCCCACTCCTGGCAGTTTGGGTTCAGGACTAATCTTTGGCAGCCACTGGCACGCAGGAACTTGAACCATATGACAAGGAATCCAGCAAAGCTTGTTAATAAAATACCCTGCCCAATTGCCCAAGCTGAAGTAGCTTGAACCCTAGGAGCCAACCACAAGACATAAGAAGTACAGAAACACAGTTAAGAAAAATATTTTTGGGAAGAGAGCTTCAGTCCAGCTTGGGGTGAGCAGCCAGAATGTCCCTGGTAGCAGAGGCACCATACAACCACATTATCTCCGGGTCTATTCTGCTCTTCTCCCCTTGCCATAGGAAAGAGCATGCCGAGATGGGGTCCTCATGCCCTCTAGTAGTAGACAGCCACATGGAAATAACACCACCAGATAAAAATACTTCACTGCCATCATCTGTGATCTTATACTCTTTTGTACTATCAGATAAAACTTTATTTCTTTTTGGGGAGGAAAATGGTTCAGATTAATGCTGATGTTCTTGACTTTGCATGTGGCATGCAGGCATGCTGGTGGATGGTGGTAACAATTTACTACAGCAGTGACACCACAGGGTTAAATTGCTGCCCTTTTCCGTCTTAGCTCCTGGGTTGCTGAGCCTGATGAATAATGTGTTGCTGTGTGGCAACTACTGAAAGGCAGCTGAAAGGCTGAGTGAATTCATGCGAAAGGGTAGAGAAGCAGTCCTGCAGAAAAGTCTGTGCTCATGAACAGCTCTGAAAAGGCACCAGCACTTACACAGAAGGAAGCAGAAGGGTCTCTTCTTTGGCATGGTGGCTTCCACTGCGCTGAGCTTTGCAAGGTGCCAGGTCTCAGGCCAGAATGGAGAAAGTCCTTTGTAGCTGCTCTGTCTTACAGACATACACAGATCTAGCCAGAATGGTCACACTTAAAAGTCCTTTCTTTTCCCATGTCAGCCTACAAACAGAGACCCAGAATAATTAAGACAGTGTTCATTTTATTGTATTCAGCATGGAAACCAGGAGATGTAAAACAGCAAAACATTAAATTCCTAAGGGACTCGATCGAGTGGGTAACATTGCTTTAGTATCACTGTAAGACTTCTTCACATGCAAACTTCTGTTGGTATGTCTTGAATGAACGCCATGGTACACCTGGAAGCCTAATACTAGCTTTACTTCGTACAGTACATCACGCTCAGTCAGTGTAACTATAAAAATAATAAAGCCACAGTAATATTAGTTGTTGTTAGAAGCCCCCAAGTTGGTTTTCTCCTGCTGCTGACTGATTCACAGCTATCATTTTTGTGGTGCTTGCAACAGCCAGGAATTCAAATTATACTTTCTCCCTTTAACTCTGTGTAGAAACTCCCAATGCTTTCAGTGTTCAACCAAGATCCTAACTTCAGACTTCAGATGTGATTTTATGTACCACAAATGCATAGAACTTCCTCTTCCATTTTACTGAAATTCTTCAGTGTAGTGTCTAAACTTGCATTTGACATACTTCAAACTATTGATTATAAGCTCAGCTAATGGAAGTGTTGTCAGGAGGACCCTCCAGTAGAAGGGTTACCTGTTGTAACAGAGCTGTTGAGAAGCATCCGAGAGACTCGTGTTCAACAACAGACAACTGCTGGAGACTTTGCTGGCAGAATTGTAATTTATTTCTATTCCAGAGTGTCAGTCTAAGCAGAAAGCTAACAAAAACTTAAGGTCTAGTATTTCAAACGGGACTTGGTTGATGTGATTCTGTTTCTAATGAGCTCAGATGCTTGCTATCACCCATAGTCTTTTTGCAGAAACCAGTTTGTACATACAAGTACGGATTTCCACCAAGCTCAGTAGCCAGTGTGCATCTCTGCACACCCCAACCACTGCACTTTCTGTTGACAGTCTAGACATGGAGGTTGGTGGGTTTTTCAGATACAGCTGTGGGAATTTTTTTGAGACCACATAAGGAGAAAATCCTTGTTTCTGTATTGCAGAGTGATCTAAACTTGCCTCAAAGTTGATGAAAATGCTAGGTGTCCAGCATTCAATCAGAAGGGTAAAGGAAAAAAACTGTCTTAGAGTATGAGTAATGCATGAGACCTGCACACATGTACATCCCTTTTAAACATGAACACATTCACACATAAGCTTACCTACAGCAAATGTTTTCCTAGAGGAAAAAAAAATTCATCTCTGTGTGACTGGGCTCAGTAATTACAGCATTTTCTTCTTTAAAGAAGCCCGAATGATGCCAAAATCTGCAAAATCTGCCTTGCTAGGATTTGATGCAACATCCACATTATAAACTCTGGAAAGGAAAAGCTGCTCAGAAAAGCACAAAGTAGAATAAAATAATAAATCTCAGTTAAAAAAAAAAAAGAAAAAGAAAAGGATGATAGTAATTTCAGTTTGGTTCAATGAAGCAGTAATACTTAATTCTTTCTTTTAAACATCTACACTGACTCAAGTGGGATGACTAAGAGAACACTGCAGCCATTTCAATGTACAGGACCTGACCTTCAGTCCCATGGACCACTGCAGCATCCAGTGACTCCAGAAATACTTGGTAGTGTTCAGCATCTGGATAAGAATCTGTGTGCATATCTTCGGGATGACTGAAAATACTAACCACCCATACAGGCATCCAAAAAATAAACTGGCAGAGGTTGAGACTTTACAAAAACAGGGGAGAAGAAAAAGGAGGGGATAGTTTTCTTCAGACCATAGCCCTTAACTTTCTAAGTCCCTGGAGCCTGACAATCATTTGTCTCTCATTCAGAGCAGCCATTTCCATAAGCTGGGCTTGAAAGTCTTGGTAACCTTTTGCATTGACTTTTAAAAGATGTAGAAAGATAAGACATAGAACAAGACAATGGAACTAATAAGTAAATAAAATTTGTACTTTCATACAAACCTTGCCTCTACTAAGTCATGAAACATGAAGTAATTCCATCAAGTTTCCAAACCAAAAAACAGGGTTTCTATTAACTTCAACACTGATTTTCATTTAGATTTCCACTTCTTAATCTTACCACTTCATCACAGTTATGAAATTCAAGATAAAAGCTAGTGTTACCTTTAGAGCATATATTCACCTTTTCTGAATCCCTTGAATATACCTCTCCAAATGGTGCATTTTACAAGCTCTTACCTGGTAGTAGCAGTAGTAAACTGAGGTTGTTTGCTAGTAGGTTTGTTGAATCATATATGGATACGTCTATATATATGAGCAAAATATACAGCCCTTGGAAATGTTCCTTTTCCTAAAAGCCATGGGACACCAACAATATGAAAAATGTGTGAGCCCAGAATGAACAAATGGGCAAAACTTACGTAGAACATTGGCTTTACAGAAACAGGAATGGGAATTCCTTGTGAAGCACCTATATCAACTTTGGTTTACTTCTCTTTTGGTCCCTCCCTTCCCGTATTTCTCAGCAATTCCTTCTGGTATATTCAAAAGAAGGTTTTCTTCTACTGAAATGGATAAGACAGATATTCTCCTCCTTGTCCCTCCACCTCTTTCCCCACTCTTTTTTCCAAACCAAGGCAGCAGAAATGAGGCAGGACTTCAGCACTTGTGCCCAAGGCAACGCAAAGCTGTCAAGACACCAACCAAGTGCTCACAGACAATGGAGGATGGCACAGCCTTACACGAAACCCCGGACTACATTGCAAATTGCCTGCAATGAGATTCTCCTTCAACTCAGGCTCTGTACTGGCAATACTGAAACATGCTTATTAGTTTTCCTAGCAGAAAGCTCCTGTATTGAAACTAGAAGTAACTCTTCCATTCTCATTCACTGTTTTTATTAATGGTTCTGGCCATGTTAACCTCCCCCCCTGCAACCAAGAGGGAAGAGTTTCCTGATAAGCAGCTTGTTTCCAAAAATTTCTCACCTTGCAACAAACTGAATTTGAATTACTTCAACTGGCTAGGCTGAAACACAGATATTTTTCTCTTTTTTTTTTTTTTTTCATACGGACCTACTCTTAGGAATGGTAAAGGACTTTCTGTTTTTATTATCTCTGTATTAGTTCAAATGAACTACCTTGGTTGTTAACCATCCCACCAGTGCAATGTGATTCTGAGTCAATTAGCAGAGAAAAAAAGCGTGGTGGTGGCACACAGATCATCTCCCCCTACCCTCTGCCATACTGCTACTCCAAGCACAGTTTCGTGTTTGACGCTGACACGACACCAAAAACAGTCTTCCTTGGCTGCTACAAGACCATTCACATGCATATTTGCTAATTGCTACCCAAAACATAGTTCTGTTTTGCTGCTGGTGAAAGATGCATGATCCCTACAAGGATTCACATCACCATCTAGACATTTTATGCAGGAGAAGGCATAAATTACCAGTGTTAAACTATCAGGTTGTTTACAGTCTGCTCTAGCAAGGCAAAGTGAAAACCTAAAACATTTTCCATGAGATGCGCTGGTGATTATCAACTCGTTTCTGTGTGTTGTTTTTTTTGGCACGTTATTGCTTGGCTTCAAATGCATGCCTTCAGGAGTTCTGTGTCCACCAGGCAGCGTCACCAACATTTCGCAGTTTGTCTTTGCACTTGTATTCTCCTGGAGTACAAAAGCACAGTGGTCTGCTGCCCACTATGGTTTTTCCAGTTATGCCCATGCAGTTGTTCAGATGCATCCACTTAGTAACTTGCTCACTGGTGTTTTGTGGTATGTATGTATTGATGAAGTTTTCCTGGAAGAAAGGTCATTTGGGGTGGGGAGGGAGGTGTGGGTGGACCAGCTGGTGAAGACTCACAGCTGAAAGCAGCTGCAGGGAACCAGGATCTCCCATTCCTCACAAAGAAAAGTTAATTCCAGTGCCAGCCCAGCACCCTGCACATTCATTGCTAAGCCCAGTTTGGTCTCAGTAAATCAAGTCATACCCATAGGCTAGAAATATTTTGGAGAGCTTAAGCTAAAGGATAAAGTTCATGGAAATTGGTGAATGTGCGACAGCCATTTATTCTCCTCTGGAAAAAAATATAACAATTCATTTATATATTCAGACTGAGCATATTTGTAAAGGGACAGTTCAGAGTAAGCTGGCTCACAAAGCTACAGCAAGGGGGACAGTGGAGAGAGGGATACGAGCTGAGCCAGGGGACACTGTTTCACAGTAAGACAGGCTGGGCAGCAGCTAGCAAGGGAGGGGGCAAAAGGAAGGAGAAAGGAGCAGCGCAAAGCCCTGGACCTGAACAGGACACAGCAAACACCGCAGACAACTCGGGGAATCTCTTCAGGGCTGACACAGACACAAAATAGGAATAGACACTGAACTTGTCAACTAACCTGACATAGTGATACCGCCGATATTAATCCCACACAAAATTTCACGTGAAACTCACATCTCAGACACTGCTAGAAAAGGGATGGAAACAGTAGTACTAACAGAAAAAAAGGTAGGAGACCTTCCTCCTGCTACGCAGAGGTGGGAAGACACTCTCCAATGTGGTATTTCAGAATTAGCAATTCAGTATCAAGTGAGAGAGGACTTGAAATGATGTACAGAAATGGAACAAGGACATGCCATAAAGCCACCAAATATATTCCAGAGGAAAACTAGGAGTCAATTTGATACAATGCCTAGGGGCAACACCTATCACCGAACTGGGTTAAAATATTTTATCTTACAGTATTTTATCTCTCTGCGAGGGAAAGGTTGCCCCAAAACAGCTGCTTTGAAGGCTTGGCAGTTGATAAACTCAAAAAGTCTGGCCTCCTAAATAAAAGGGGACCACCTCATGTCTCCTTCACAGAAAAAAAGAAAAAAAAATAGTGCTCATTTCCACTGTGTAAACCTGTAAGATTTACAGAGTAAGTTGTAAGAGTAAGATCTACAGAGTAAGTCAGGTGTGTGGTACTAGACAGAAATAAATTATCATCATGATTAATGAAAAATCTTTAATGGAATAAAAATAACCCCTATTTAACTCTAGTGCTCTACAGGATTACAACATCCAAATCCTCGGTGCTTTGCAGGATTGAAAACTAAATTTTCTACAAACTGCAGGAGTTCCCCAGCCTCCCATCATGAATTCTAGTGGACAGAATGAAAAAGTATTGGGAAACACATTTCCCAGGTTGAAAAATATCATTAAGGTGAGAAATGTGACCAACATACATTCGAGACATTATTGTATATCAGACTTCTGGAGAAAACAGTCACTAAGCTACCTTTTATTAGCAGTTTCTACAACTTTTCTAACATTAGAAATACAGCAAAGATTGTCTCAAGATTTCAATACTTCTGTAAAGTGAATGTTTCAAGTTAACAATATAATGGTTTATAATATAGACAGCATTAGGTAAAACAAAATACGCACAGGCTAAATAAATTGTATTTGGTTTAAGAAAGACAGCAAGAAAAGCATCAACATGCTACAAAAAAAGTAGAGTTGGCTAAGAACTTTAAAGGAAAAAAATGAGTGTAATGCACTAGACATGTAGGCTCATGGATGCAGACGCACAGGATAGCCTCTGCTTCTATGGGAAAACATTACTGTGTGTCTCTAGAGAGAGAAAAAAAACCAGATCCACATCACTTTAAAGAGTGATTTAGAGGAGCCAGAATGGCTTGCTGCTTTTGAAAGACTTGGCTGGAGCACCACAGCCCAAGTGAGGGGAGCATCCTGTCAGGTGCAGGTACATCTACTGACATGCTCTCTCGTGACTCGCCTGCCCTGTGTGCATCGCCTGCTTACACCTTAAGTGTGGCTGATGCAGGGGAGAAAAAGCCCGCAGAATATAGTCCTTTCTCACCTCCCCTTCTAACCATCAAAATACCATTGACTTAACTTCTCCCAAAGAGATAATCCTTCAGCCTTGATCCTCACTCTTTGCCTGATTCTCCATTTCAACGGAGAGGAAGACCTGGCTCTTTGGGGCTCACATGAGAACGGCGTCTCACAATATCAACAGAAGTGAGACTGCTCAGTGATCAAGGTCCATAACCTTTTCATGGACTTACCACAGGGAAGTTGTGTTAGGTCTTTACAGCTGCTGGAACTCAGTTTTACCTCCCCCAGCCACCCCAAACTATAAGACCTTGTGATGCACACAAATAACTTCCCATAATAATGTTGACAATCTCTCTGCTTCTTGCTTTATCAGAAGCTGCTGCTCTCCCTGCAGTGAGGTGACAATTTAAATTTGTGCTTTTGCTAAGTGCCTAGCTTTTCATCTGACAGTAGTCGGGATGGGGGCATAATGTGGAAACATACCAGCTGTGGCAAGAATAACAGCATGATGGAGCGTGTGGCTACTCAGAAAACAAAGGGGAATAATTTTCCACTGTTGCTGCATCACAACCCCAATAACACAAAGGAACAGCAGGACTCGAGACTTGAGGGGAGGGATTCTCTCTACCACCATGGACATCTACACACTCCTGCAAACCATGTCAGTCTAACACAGAAGAAGGAGCAGGTCTGACGCAGCAATTAGGACGCCTAAAATTCTGCAGCATGGACTGGAACACGTTGTGCTGCCTCCCTTTCAGTTTTTTATTTGAGGATGTATCTGAGGAAATGGATTTCCGGGTCTGACTGTTCTGGGCCCGGATCAGTTTCTCGTGTTCCCGTATTTGTCTCTGTAAGTGGTTCTGGATGGCAATTCCCAGGGATTCTGGATCAAGGGAAGCACCATAAACCTCCCATGTCATGCCCTGCTCATCCCAAACAACATCCCTGACGTGTTTGGACTGCTTCACCTGCACTTTCGCCTCCATGGCCGGGGTGGGCTGCTTTTTGTTTTCCCCCAGGTTTGCCAAGGCCTGAGCTGAAGCAGGAAGAGCTGCTGTGTGAAGTTGGCCCCTGGGCTCCTTGGCCTGGAGGCCTTGCTGCTGGGGGGCTGCTGACACCTCCAAGGGAGGGGTGAGACGTGCAGAACTCTCACTCAACTCAGGTGTCAGTCCTGCCTGCAGGCTGTGGCTGCTGGCTGTCTGAGCCTGGCCAGTTTCTCCCCGTCCTCTGCTCTCATCCTTCTCACCTGTATCCTCTGAACACGCCTTTATGTGGACAGTGGCAGGTTGGCTGCTAACATCCATCCCTCCTCTAGGATCAAGCACAGCTGAGTTTTCTTCCTTTGGTTTTACCACAGATTGATGAGGAATGGCCTCCCCTTGACTCGCACCCTTACTTTGCACAGGCTTTTGCTCAGAGTCACCCATGACTTCTTTCTGCTTGACTTCACTATCTGTGCTACAGAGTAAAGGTAACCGGCTGCTTCCTGCATCATGGACAAGATCTTGCACATTGTTTTTGGTTGCTGGGACAGCAGCAGCAGAAGTGGTGCTTGGTTCTCCAGTGCCAGACCTAGGCTGTGCTGGAGTTTGATTACTGGAGTCAACTGCAAGCTGCTCAACAGGGATGGGCTTTGGTGGGACTGGAGCATCCATTGGCAGCTGTGCATCATCCCTGCTGTCAGGGGCTGCACCAATCATTTCTGCATTACCCACAGATGTTGCTTGGGAGGTAACAGCTACAGGGGAAAAGTGTTTTGCATTATCTGCTGCTGATGGAGACACCACATCAGGTGGGACCCCAGGCAGTCTGACAGGCTGGGTTTGGGCTGAAGCAGTCACAGCCATAACAACAGTCGTTTTTGATGTGATACCAGGAGAACATGGGGACTTCTGTTCTGAGGATACACTGTCACTAAGTGCAGAGTGGCTCAGCCCCATACCTCCTTGGTAAATTACGTGCAGTTCTTCCTTCTCCTCTGGAGGAGGATTCCCTTTTAAGAAGGCAGCAAGGATACTGGGACTGGTGGAAGCCGATTTGCTCTCCATGGTAGCCACAGCCTGAACCTCAGCATCTCGACATGTCCTGCTTACTGCTTCCTGAGTTAAAGAGCTGCTCTCCAGCTGAACTGTCATTGTACTCGTTTCTCTGAATTTGGAGAGCTGGGTGGAGCCTGGGCTCACTGACTCAGCGTCTGCGTTGCGTACAGGATGCGGACTCTCGTGGCTAGGCTGGGCTGGTGCCTCACCACTCTGCACCGCTTCAGTCTTATCTGTGGGATGCAACTGCGTTGCGTCTGCAGCCTCACTTTTTGTCTCCAGACTGGTCTGTGGGTCTCTCCCCAGGTCAGCTTCAGCGTGACACGCTGGCGAGGCTGACTGACATGCAGCAGAACCAGTTTTTTCTGCTTCCCTGCCTTTTTCCCCTCTTTGCAGAAGGTTTGCCTGAGAACTATGACAGGACTCATTACCTCTGATAGGGTCACCTGGGGAAGAATAATTTAACACCTCAAGTGCTGGCTGATCATCAGTCCCTTGAGGTTTCAAGGCGGAGTCATCCATTTGTGTCAGGGAGCTCATTTTTGCCTGGCTGCCTTGCACAAACTGCCGGGAGCTCTGGGGGGCTGGCATCATCTCTGGCCCCTGCCCTGCTGAGGGGGCTCCTGCTGCAGCAAGGGCTAGCGCTGCTGGTCCCTGGCTGCCCGCTGGCTGGGAGCAACCAGCTGGCTCTATGGCTGCAGGATGCCCCTCTGCAGCTTTGCTGGCGAGCCCAGGAGGAAAGGCCTCCTGCTGGCTAGCATCGTCCTCGCAGCATTGCTCACACCTCTGTACGCTGGCAGCTGACGTACATTTCAGGTCGAACAAGCAAACACCAGCAGAGCTGGATGGCGTGCATGGGAAGCCATTGCTGGCCCTCTCTCCACTGGGTAGTTTGGGCTGGTGCTTAGCAGACTGCAGGTCTCCCAGGTGGTCCTCCTCCACAGCAGCTGTGACCAAGGAAAGCTTGGCAGATCTCAGAGGATCTGGTACAGTCCCCATGGACTGTATCTGAGATGTGTTTTGCCCTCAGCTTCTCCTCAGAGTTTTCTCGCTGAGTGGTGGGTGCAACAGGGCAGGCTGTAGGCAACAGGTTTCCTGTGAAGCTAATCTGTTAATGAAAGAAACATAGTGTTAGCATCAGTCAGATATAAGAAGAAAATGTACCTGGAACAGATTGATTTTACAGCTTGGAGAGAAATGTTTGCAGGCAAGAGGGAAAGTGAAATACCTATTTCTGCCTAAAAGTCACATGAAAGATTTCAAGGATCTCCTGATTCCAAGGTCTGGATGGAGAAGACAATATTAGGGACAAAGGAACAGCAGCTGCCCTGTTGTTGATAGATTAATGAAAACATAATGATATGCCAAGAGGAAGGGGAAAACAAAAGAAATATGAAATGAAAGCAGGGATGAATGGCAGGGAGAACGGACTTTGTATGGAAGTTTTAGGTCACAAAATAAACTCAATGTGATAAAATCCTCTAGCAAGTCACCTGTGGAAGGAAAGGTGCTACCTGTTGTGCCTATGTGAAGAACAGATCTGATTCCCACCCTGTGACATGAGTGGATCCCAAACCTTTGCTGAGCACCAGTTCCATCTTCTCACAGAGAGCTCTTCTCTAACTCCACTACTAATAAGGATGTGCTCACAGGGGGCAACAGGTCACTTCAGACTAATGTGAATGAACCCAAACCTCACTGGTAAAAGGAACACAGAGGGCCAACAACCTGTTGCATGGTGCAGATAAAACACCTAGAGAAGCTGCTGCACTGTACAGCACTTGGGCTGTGCACATACTTACTGCTTTCACATTTAGATCTTTTGAAATAATTACAAGGAAGCCAGCTTAATTAATAAATGGGGGCACAGATGATCTAGAAATCAATTTACAAGCAGGTGGTATGAAACTGGAAGGGGAACACTGTAGCACTGCCGAACAGGAGGGGCCCATCCCATACCCAGTGAAACACTGGGGAGGGATTTTAAACAGGTGGAGCAGAGTTATGGAGGTTGAAATCCAGCCAGGACTGCAGAGAAACCATTGCTTCAAACAGAAGGCAGTCTCCAAATGTGCTTGCTGGCTGGGCTTCCAAAAGGACTCAGCATTGCCCAACTCAGACCCTGCTAGATGTCAAGGGCTGGATTGCTGACAGTGTCAGCAGAGTGGTGATGGCCAGTGATAAAATCCCACCCCAGTCTTCCTTTAAATTACAGGCTACTTGTTTAAAAGGTTTTCTCCATCCAGCAAAGCACAGGTATGAGAGCTGGGAGACACCCTGAACATCTAGTTTTATGTTAACGAGAGGGATGATGCTGCCCGTGTCTCTGCAGGCACACAGTGGGGTCTCCTTTGTTACATTACTTGGGAGACACCGCTGAAAGGAGCTGGGCAATCACTCAGCTGTTCCAGATCCTCCCTACTCACTAGCAGTATCAGCAAAAGCCCTTCCCAGAAAACATCCCTACTCTCCTTTCTCTCTCTCAGCCTGAATGGCAGCAGTATGGCTTCCTCAGTTTCTGTAAAATTAATCCTAAATTTCAGCACCTTATGGTACTTAGAAAGTGCAACAAGAGAAAAATACTCAGTGAAAGGAAAATTAAGACAGTCTGTTTTTCTAAGAAAAGGAAAATGCTGTGACTATTTACTTATTCATTAAGCTTTATGTCTTCCACATATTAATAATTTATTATTTTTATACTGTCTCTTTGGGCTCTGTCCAATCACAGATATACACAGTCTGCTGGGTTAAGCCAGCCCTGGGAGACTATGATCCTACTCCTGAGTTTCTTAGCTGCAATCTGTGATAGCAACTCTGCATCACTTCAAAATGGCTTTTCAGCAAGGCTAACAATTGCTAAGATTTTTGAGAAGTACTGAGTCAATGTAAACCAGAGTGAAAAATCAGTGGAAATTTGTGTTCACCTAGAAGATATCTTCACCTCATTTTGTGCTCACTTTAAAGCCAGTCAACATAGTCCTGAAGTAAAGGAGAGCTATTCCAAGTTCACGCTGTTGTACTATGAACGTCTAATGACCATGAGGGGAGGAGCAGATGGCTTTGGACATCTGTTTGTCTATAAATTCTGATACTCTCTTCTTTCCTTTTCCAAATATCGATGCAAACCAAACTAGTATATACAGTTGGGCAGGTCACATTTCTTTTAGATCCAGAGTTTATTTAAGAACAATTAAACAAATCATTGAACAAAACCAACCCCCATTTTAGGATGAGACATACTACTCAGTAAACAGTTTCAGAAGAAATAAAGACGGCAAAGCAAATCTGTTTGGCTCTTCACGATAAAAAAACTGGGAAAGGCAATCTGCGTGCCAGAGCACTGTCTTTAACTCATACCTGCTCCATGGGGGAATGATTCCTAATTTTTCAATTAAGTGAATTAGTTCTGATCTGAACCCCCACATGAATTCTCCCCATCTGTTTAGTGGCTCTTCACAAGCATCACTTGAAATGCACATTGAAACGACTGTCACATGTGCTAATTAAAAAGTGATTCTGCTACTGAGCCCTTGACATATAATGTCGACAGAGAAAATTCTCCCACCAAAACCCCACATGGACCTATTTTCTGATGTGTGACAAGAGTATAACCCAGACATTTCGCTTGACCCTTGAAGATGGGTTGGGGGGCTGGGTCACTACTGATTGGTAAAACTGTGAAAATTAGTTAGTTTATGAGAATAACGTTTTTACAGAGACTTCGTTATTGAAGTCATGGGAGCTATTTTCTTGTTAGACTCCTCACTAAGCCATCCTAATGACAGGAGCCAGAGGCACTGTAGTAGTCTAAATAAATGTGGTAATTTTTGACAATGCTCTTTCTTAAGAATTAATAAAAATCAGAATGAAGTGTCTTACACAAGAGAAAAGCAAGCAAACCCAACTTATTACAGAATTGGAAAGTCATTTTTATTATTGGAATGTTATTTATGATTATTGCTCATTTTTATTTGGAGTCCTATTATACAGGGCTGAAGAACAACGCTGGGACCTGTGGGCAACACTAATTAACTACCAAGGCAGTGAGGACTCAAAACAGCAAGCAAAACTGACTGCAAGAAAATACCTAGAAGAAACAGAAATACAAAATTCAGTAGTAGGCCAAAACACATGTCAAAAGCAACCAAGGTCACTGATGAATTTTTCAAGTGTTATATGCCTGACCTTGCTCAATCACCCAAAAGTTTCTTTTATCGGGAGGTGAAATTAGTATCTCCACAAAGGTCAAAATAAATTTGTAGTAATAAGAACAGATTTTCTAAACCAACAGAATTTTCCACCTTATTTAGACCACATTAGTCTGCCACTATGTCAATCTCATCTCAACATAGCACCCTTCCGAACCTTTTGCAACATGAAGTTTCTAATTTTGACAATGTTTATGTTTGGCTTATATAGTCTGGAGGATACTACACAGCCAGCAGACCTTCACAGATTCTTGTCACTGAGTAGGTCTTCATTATGTGCTTTAAAAAAACATAAACCTCAAGAATTTTTCTGGCAACTCAATGCTGACAATACAAAGAAACTCCTATTTATTTCAGTAACACCCATGCCCCAACAAAACAACACTACAACTTTTCCCTCTTGCTGCTTCTGAGAATGTCAACAAAACCAGAAAGTCTGCATGTTTAATAAAACAAACCAAGAAATTTCCAGGAAATTCCAGCATAAAATTCTGCCTCTCATTCTCTCTTGAAATATCTGAAAATCTGCAAAAGCATAAATAAGACTACCAGCACCTCCAATTACCCTCTATTTAAAAAAAAAAAAAAATTAAGAACAAATATTGAAAAACAGTTAAAAAGCAGCTCCCAAACTAATCAAGCACACCTTCCCCAATTCTGGATTCTCATCAGCCTTCCATTCCTTGAGTCCTCTGAATATTTGCTCTTAACAGTTCTAATCTCATCATATGATTTCTCAGATCATCACAAAAATCATCATACAACTGCAGGGGTTAAGGACACATATAAACATCCGCTGAAGCAGGAATTCAGCCTCCCTCCTCATTTTTCGATCTGAGGAAAAGACTATGGCATGCTCTAACTCGTATCAGACCACTGAATATATAGAACACAGAGCATATTTCTTTAAATTTTAAGCATACACAGGTACTTGCATCCTTCTGATTCTGCACCCAGTGTTTTCTTTTTTCCCAGCTCATTAAGTTGCTCTCTGTAAATGCTGTGACTTCCTCGTTTTAGTGTCGAAGGGTGTTTGTTATTCTGTTTGTGAAAAATCTGCTTCATGGGTTATTTTCTCCTAACTCTCTGTGGGTCTGAAGACTGGCACTACAAATAATTGGACAGTGCAAACCAAGGACATATTCACTGAACTACAAAAGAGGTTGCCTGAAGAGTAAGATAGAAGATACACAATTTCCATCTTTCAGCTTGCTTTGGGATGCTGACAAGAGACAGACTCATATGTTACAATCACAGGGAAGCAAGAGGCAACAGGGGATGCCCACACAGATACCTTGGATACATGTGGTTCCCACAAGTGATGAGGTTGGCATTTCAAGAAGGTGCATGAAATCCTGATTCCCCTTCCACACCTGGGGACCACACACGTTATTGCTGGCCACAACTGCAAACACCGCAGGAACCCATGACAGAGATAGACAGGGAGGCTGACGGCAGAAGCAACAAGTTCAACACCAGGAGGCTGCAGCACCCTCTGTGCAGATCTTATGCAAAGTGGGCAACTGCATGCGGTGGTTTGCTTTTGACTGGCCTCTGCTGATTCAGTTAGCAGAACTGCTATAACACTTCAGCAGACACTGAAAAATACCTATTTACTCCCTCACTATTCAGGTAGCTGATATGAGTTTACTCAGCCCAGACAGACAACGGCCTATTGCCAGACTGCTTTCAGTACAATAAGGTGTATTCTGACCTTTTTTGATGTTAACCTTTCCTATTGCTTCTTGATGCTTTTCTGTTGCCCTTAAACTACAGCACACCTCGACTCTGCTCATCAGTCAAGCCCATCATCATGATATCTGAGCACTTTTGTGGCAGCATCTGGGCTCTCAGTTGTTATGGGCCTGCTCAACTGTATGACCATTTGAGGTCATATTAGTGCACACCTGAAGCCTTGTTTGGCTCTGTCACACCTGCCCTGAGGACAGAAACAAGGCAAGATGCGATAGATGGTATGCATCTTATTTGTGCATTCACTGTTATGTTCCCTTAAACAGCTGGTTGGGTCAGTCATACCCCTCTAGAAGGAGAAGGGAAGACAGCTCAGCTTGACAGACGATGGAACAAATGCTGGAGAGGAAGCTGAGAAGGAGCTGAGATGTGGTAACCCCTGCAGGGAGCATCCAAGCAGGCACCAAGGGTGACAGGAGGGATTTCCCAGGGACTGGAGAGGACCAGGCAGTCTCATGCAGCTCAGGAGCCCCTGTTCTGGCTGCAACCCTGCCTAAGAGCAAGGGCCTGCCTACAAGGACTTGTTATCTTACCTGTTCATTTTTCTTTTCACTATATTAAAAATTGCATTTCTCATTTGTGTGGGGGTTTATCTAAAAAGCTTTTCAATTATTCTTGTTATTTTTGGGGGTAAGGATGCTTGCTTTAAAAAAAATGTCAGACCTACTTGAAATCTCTGGCTCAGCGCATGCAGAGACGTGGATCCTCTGTAGTCGCTTCTTACTGCTGGCCATCAGGAGTTTAAGGATCTTCTGACTCAAAGGGCACTTTAATCACCTTTGGAAATGAATGCACATCTAGCTATGAAATCCCTTTGCATATTTGTCCTATATGAAATGCTGTGGCAACGCACAAATGCATGCCCTGTAAGAAAAGGGTCTTTATTTGTACAAGCCTGCCCACTGGAAGTCTGGGCCACTCATTTCGGTATTAAAGCAAACACCACCAAACAAAACCCTAGAGCCCCTCTTAAAACCCTTCCCAGCACCTGTGCTCGAACCACTTTTTAACCACCCGTGATGCATACTAAATCAGCTGGAACTACCAACTGAACAGCATGAACAGCCCTGAGAAAAACCTGGCTCCTGCCAGGGTTCTCAGGGAGCAGTCTGGCTCTGCACCAGATCTCACAGCCCTTCCTCCTAGATGCTGAGACACAGCCCACACCACCTCACAGGTCTGCTTGCACAGGCATCAAGACATGATGCTGAAAAATGGAAAAGGCAGAGGGAAAAATGGGAAATGAGTCCAAACGGAAAAACAGAGGGTAAGTACTTAAGAAAAATTTCAGACTCTGCTTGTACTTCATTTGTAATGGTAATAATCCAAGGAAAATTGTGTGAAAGATCAAGGGCAAGATGCGCTGCTATTTTTTGCCAAAAAGAGATGGCTGCCAATCAGCCTGACAGCTACTGAAGATTTTATCTAGCAGTGTTTTGTACAAGCTGAAGAAATGTATTTTTCTGGTTGTTGACTCCTCTCATCTGTCATGGGAGCTACACTTTAGAAGGACAAAGCCCATCTTAACCTGCTGCCCACAACCTGCAGATGAGAAAATGGGTTAAAAGCCAGTCCTACCAAATGGCACAGTGGCCTCTGGGTCTAAACCAAAGCAAAGCAAACTGCTTTGCATCTACCTTCATTTTGCTGAGCTTTTGACAAACCTTAAGTACACCCTCCCAAGAGACCACAGTAACCTTACTGTGAATGATAGTCTACTCAACTAGATGCAAAAGTAAATCTGATAAATTTTAAATCCATTTTTAAATGTAATATTTACAATAGTTTCTCCCTGCAGCATGCAGATAGCATTGCTGGATTTTGTTTCTGCAGGTAACTCTTGCATATGTTCTTATTAAAATCTGTGCTCTCTGTGCTGCCTAGACTCTTGTTGAATTCCTAGGAGTCCAGAAAGTGCAGTTGCCAACAGGCTGCAGAAAAGGCTGGCTGAGACTGGATCTCTCTTAAGTACTCTCAGGTACTTGGCAGTGAGAACAAGGGGTCACCTATCTACAGTTTTGGTACTTCAGTGTTTATCCCAGTTTAGAAGCAAGCATCCGGCAGTCCATCCTTAGCATAACCTCAGGATTGCCACAAAAATCAGTACTGGCCTAAGCAGTTTTGGACTGGTATAAAGAGTACACCCAGGCAGTGCTGAACCGGAATGGCATATATTTCTGCTCCAACTTCAGGCTGAATGCTGCGAACCAGTCCAAGTCCCATGGCTACCTGAGTGCAGGAGAGTGCTGACAAGCTCATCCAAGAGGCTAGAGCAGAACCTCATCCCAACACTTAATGTCCCAGAGATGCACGTGCATCTCGGCAGCTGCCCAGGGACGGATATGTGGGAATACTGGCACGGGCTTTTAACAGGCAGGCCCACAACCACAGGTTAATGTAAACTGTGCAGTGACCCAGCCTGATTCAGCTATACTGTCCCGCTGGCTGCAGAATAATAAGATACCCTTCAATTAGAAAGATGTCCATCTAAAAGGAAGGGTGACCACAGCTCTGCTCTGAGATGGGATGTTCTAGACTGTGCCCCATATGTGCCCTGTGAGCAGTGCTTGTCTTGCCCCACCCAGGAGACAAGCAGCAACCACGTCCAGCTCTGGTGCTTGTGTATGGAGCCCTGCAGGGATCCTGTGCCCTGTTAGCCATGTAAATATTCTGTGTGCATGTAAACATCACTCCTGGTTGCATTTTGCTTTTAATCCTGTCAACATTTTATCAGAAGAGCTCATATTATCCTTTTCTGTAGCCTGATGCATACAGCTACTGTGGTCACACCACTGACTTTCACCCAGAGGTTCCCTAGCACAAAAGCTGGGCTGGCTCTGCTGAAGTCACCATCCTGTGGCCACACCCTTCCTCCCACATCATCCTCTCCTCTGCCCCGCACCCCTGTCCTGCCCCTTGACTTTCCCACTTAGGTCATGCTCTGCTGTGCTCCTGAGCACCCTCCCTGCCCACAAAGAGGAGTCTTGGGCAGCAGCATGGGGATGCAGAGACAGACTCTCTCTTTGCATGTGTCCTCTCAGGGTGACAGCACCCAGTAAAAAGGCTTTCTTCGGCGAAGCGTGTAAGTATGCAGAAGTCCCTGCTGAACACTGGGCTTGCTGCAGAACACTGCCAAAAGCCTGTCAGTTTTTCTCCTCCAAGGTGAAAGGGAAGGATAAATTGCTTTATGAAAACAGCCAAATCAAACAACTACACTGACCGGCAGCCAGCTGTAACAGTTGCATAAGCTACAGCAACATTCCCACCTCATATGCTGGGCCACCTTAGAGGGGATGTGACATATGGATGAAACCCACAGGGATATATATTTTGCCCCCTTTTTTTTTTAATTACACATTCTTATGTTTAAGCCTTGTTATTTATCAGTGCATTTTTTAAATTTCAGTAGCTGACACTGAAAATCACTTTTAAGGAAATGCAACCTGACTTCAAGGGTAAGCCGCACGTCAGGAGGAACATCTGTGCACATGCTCTTGACATGTGCACGTGAGAGGAAACCAGACACCTGCTGTCCACATCAGGCAGGTGACCCCATTTCACACAGCTTGCTGAAACATTATTTTTCTTCAACTTATTGAGTAAAACCAAGAAGTGGTGTTTGAGGGATGTGAACAGTAGGGTCATATGGACCTTTCAAACACCACTTCATTGCCTGATGTTGAAAGCAACAGAATTGCCCATCAACTAAGTGGGAAATTAATTCCTTATCTATCCTCTATCATCTTCTGTCCAATAAAAGCATGGTGAAATCTAACCCCTCATTAATGCATTTCATGCAACTGAATGCATTTGAACATCGACAGCTGACAAAAAAAAAAGTCCTATTTTTTGAGAGAACATTTTAACAATAGCCAACAATAAATGCTTTTTCCTACAGAGCAATGTCAACGTGACTTCATTATAAAGCAAAGTGATCTTCTTTAGGGGTGAAAGAATAACACTGGCTTAGTGACCATGCAATTCTTGCTTTCTCTGCTAAGACTTCCAGTCAACTAGCAGCAAGCAGGATGGTGAGGCTTATGTGGACATCCATCTACTGGGAGCTGGACCAAGACCAAACCCACATTTTGTGTGATCGGGAATACATAACTACAGCTGAGTACGTGTGTCTTGGAAAGGGTGGCTCTATGGGTCAAAGTACACGATCTACTTCTAACATGCTTTCAAGATCCTCAAAAGCAAACGTCCTGAATTTCATTATGACCTTTTTCTTAAGAACATTCCCCCAGGGCACTGAATGCAAACACTCATCACATGGCTGAAGCAGCCTCAGTAGTGGTGCTAGCACCTTAGATAATTACGCTTGATTTGCTGCTGAATAACCATATTATTGGTGCTCAGAGAAGTGTGTTGTAGCAGCACTTCTTTTTTTAATCAACCTTGCAAGTAAGGAAATTTTGCCTTGAAAGAGCTGATAGCAGGAGGAATGTATTTTGCATAAGGTAAAACCCAACAATAATGTTTAACTCTCACACACACACTGTCTGAAAAATTAAGTTCTCCTCATATATAATATTATTTTAATGAAGATGCTGGTGTCAGTATTAGAGAAGGGAATAGATCTATACATAACAGGCACCTGGCAAAGGACATATCCATTGTTGTTTACAGGCGTTATCCTAACGGAAAAGAACTACTCCAAATGGCATGTAATTAGAGAAGAAGGATGCAGAGCATAACCAGTCATTACTGTAACAGAAATTTGCTGTAGCATGTTATTAACCTAAGAAAGGCATGATGATGATCTCACCATGTCTGGTCTTGCCTCCTGGCTATCAGAAACACAACTAATGTGAATAAAAAGGCTGTCAGCTGAAACGGCTTTTTTTTTTTTTTTTTCTTTCTTTAAAAAAACCCCAGTTTAAAATATCTTGCCTTCTTCCTGCTGCCATCTCAGCAGTTGCTTCCTGTTTCTTCACATTCTCACTTTGCTCTGCTGCTGTCTGTCATTGACAATAAGAGCAGTAAAAAGAACAAAATAATCTCCTCAGTAAACTGCCTCCTGCTAAACACCTTCTCAAAAAAACACAAGAGGAAGTGCCGTGTGCTGGGCCACTTTTGTCTGATGTATTGAGGCTCTGCAGGAAACCAAAAATGGCTGCAGGTTGGAAGCCTTCGGTGCTCAGAGATAAAATAGGAGCAATTCAGCGGTATCTTTACAACACTGGTAAATGCTCTTTTGAGGGCAATGACTCAAACCTGTACATCCAGCTAAGGACTCTAACCTGTTCACCTCAGTCACGCGAGCTTACGATATGACTTCAGTTACAGGAAAAGCTGTTGTTGTAGTCTTAGACTTTTTCTTTCCTTGAGGCTATGTGCTTTATTTTGTTGAACACTGACCCCGGTGGAATGGGACCAAAGCAGAGACCAGCACTTCATGCATTACTGTTTTTTTAACTGATGATATACTACTGCACGTGGGACATGTGGAAAGCAGTATGTGCTAACCAAGCAGGGACAGAATGACACATCCTAAATATGTCAACGCCAGGAAAAATGACACTTGTCATGTACTGCAGATAATCAGTGTAATCAGTGACACCACTGTTTTTCATATCCAGAAATGATAGAACAGCCTAACCACGTACACAGCACTGCAGCTGTGTAAGGTCTTCCAGCTACTTGACCCTAGTGACAGCAAATGCTAGATAGGAACATGTTGACAAAAAATTACACCTATAAATCACACCATGTCTTCTTCAGTCTCCACCCAGAGTTGACACATAGTGTTGAAAGACACATCTGAGAAACCTCCAAGATGACAGCAACTGCCAACGTGGCAGATCTGATCAGGTAAAATTGAAAGAAACTGTTCGGGCTCTTGACTTGAGAAAAAGGAGGTCCTGACACCGATACCAACTCAGCATTGGTAAAAATCAGCCCCCAAACCTTAGCTCACTAACTTTGAGTCAAATTCCCCATATAGCCAGAGATCTCTTCAGGACAAAGAGAGGCTCTTAAGTTTTCTCCATGCACCACGTGGATGTGCTTGAACAAAGCGACTTCTAGCTTTCCCTGGGTGAAGAAGCCAACTCAGTCACCAAGTCACTCTCTCAACACCTTCGCCTTCCTGCAGCAAAGAAAAACACGAACAGCTGTGCTGTACAACAGCTTATTTTAGGAACAACTTGTTATTTGCAGTCTATCCCATAGGTGTCTGATGGT